CTCAGGAAGCGCTAGGAGCATCCTTCAATGGAGGGTACTCGGTCGGAGTACAAGGAGCTCCGTTACATATGCTTTTCCTGTTCAGCTGTTTACAGCATTCAAATGCTTGAGAGCATTCGTATGCTTCTCCGGTTCAGTGGTTGTGGTGTCTGCTACAGTGCTTGGAGTCCTCAGGAAGTGCTAGGAGCATCCTTCAACAGAGGTACCCAGTCGGGGTGCCAGGTGATCCGTTACAGATAGCATATCCCCCAACTCCCATCACCCAGTGCCAACATGGTAGCGAGATCTCCTTCCCCTCTAATAAAAGAAATGTAGCCGGAAATACCAATACTAAATATCTAAGAATCAGCCATTCGGCTACATTTCTTTTATTAGAGGGGAAGGAGATCTCGCTACCACGTTCTTAATATTTAATATTCACTAAATTATTATTATTTCTGTAAACTTGTTATGATTTTTTAAAATTCAATAAAAACTATTTGAAAAGGAAATAAAACTTTATCACCAAAATGTATAGGAATGGTTCTGAATCATTTCTATAGTAGCCTATATAATTCAGAGGACCAAACTAGAGATTCAGACATTGATTATTATTTACAAAACATTATAAGATTCTAAAAAATCTACATTAAATTCCCCTATATCTTCCAAAAAAATTCACAATGCCATGTTTGGCGGACCCTTAGTGTTCCCTAAAAAACATATTCACGATCCCCCTGGTTGGGTACCTTCCCTTCTACCGAACACACGCTCCCTGGCAGGCGGCGGACATTTTTTCTACAAACGACCTCAGTGGGAGTTAGCTGCGAACTGCCTGGAACGCGATACGGCCTCCTGGTCTATTAATCTGCCAGTTTTGTCCCACTTGACGACCTGCCAGACACAGAGACGCCTGGGTGGGATCACTAGGTAAAAGAATGGAGACCCCATGCTGGGGGTCTGGGCAAATAAAGGCTGCATTTAGAGCAATAAACTCAATTGACTTCCAGAACTATGTCTCATCTGAGAGGAGAGTTTAGCGGAGGTAACCAGCCGGGCTACCAGAGATCCGCTACACCACATTAAGACTAAATATTCATAAAACACCTGGCCCAGACTGTTCCAGCATTGTCTTTTACAAAACATTTAGGGTGTTATTATCTAATCACTTGGCATCTACATTTAATGAGCTTGTTCAGCAGGGTTTTTTTCCCCTGCTGAACTAACTAAAGCCAATATAATACCTATTCTAAAGCCATACAAAAATCCCACACTCTAGGAAAATGTATAGACCTATATCTCTCTTAAAAAACTGATGTTAAACTGTTTTCATCAATATTGGCTAATAGATTAAAATTGGTTATGAATATCTTAATACATCTATATGAATATCCTAATACATCTCCTTGTGAGTGTATTTTTATCTTAATTTTACCTAAAACATTGTATATACTGGATTACACTATTGGCGGTTTCTTTTGTGTTTTATTTCATATGAAGACTCCAAGAACAGAATCCCTCATCTGCACTAAAGTTTTGTCTACTTGAACAATGACAGACTGAGCTCCAAAAAAGCGCTACCATCAAAAGGTTCTTATCTCAAAAAAATACTTTTTCTGCTGGGACTCTTTATTATTGTTATATCTCAATATTTTTATATATAATATTGTGTGTGTGTGGGTATATATGTTGTAGAATTATTAGGCCTCTATAAATCTGTAAGGCCCCTTTAAATCCTCTTGCTATACCTCTAAGAGGCCCCCATAGTTTTACAAGGAAGCTTTGTCTATAGAACATAGAATTTGCATGTCAGCAAGAAATAGCTTTGATAAAATGTGTATTTACTAAAATCCTTGAAACTTAACCTTGAGAAACTAACAAGTGCCAGCTACGCTCTAAATGGATAGCTGCCAAAAGGCCCCTCCCGTCGAGTGAACTCCTCATGTTAACAAAATGGCGCTAAAACCTGTAGGAGTTAAGAAATTACGTAGATAGTGACCTAAGAATGGGGAGGGCATTTTACTAACATCTTAGCACCTAAGCCAATTAACAATGTCTATTTGTCTATATCTTGATTTTCTTCAATGATGTAATAATGCCTTTATAAGGGTCTGCGCACCCATTTTCTGTCAGAAGCCATTAAACTTCTCTGAAGTTCTTTCATTACCCTGAACCTTGTGTCTCAGTGTGAATTTACTTCTGCGTGCACGCAACTTTATTATCTTTAATTTGGACAGGAACAGATAGTCATTCAAACTAATTGGTTTGCAGTAAATTATCTACTACAAATTGGCGCTTCCAACGTGGGGCTCTGGGCTATGTCCTGCCTGGGCAGCTGTCCAAGAAGATGCTGGGGGGGTGAATCCTGGGGGAAGGAAAAGAGCCTGATCACCTCTGAGTACATGGTAGAGATTGCTGCAGCACCTAGCCGGTATGTTCCTACCCCTGTGATTGACCTATCCCAGTGTCTGTGACTGCTGCCGAGAGGACATCAAAGTCAGGTAATAACTTGCCCAGATTCTTTGTATTGTTAATGATACCTAGTTTACCTGCATGTTGACTATCTGTTGCCTGGGTGTGTTTGTATTGGTATGTGTTTAACTTAGTACCCGGGGAGTGTAAGTGCCTGTTTAACTCCTTTTAGGTACCACGTGCCTGTGGTAGTAAGGAAAAAGGGGGGTGGACCTGTGGAAGTTTTCCTGGGGGTCCTCTATTGCCTGTTTAACTCTTTTAGGAGCCACGTGGCTGTGGCTGTAAGGAAAAAGAGTAGGGGGAATCTGTGGAGGATGATGTAGACTCATTGCTTCCTGGGGGTTCCCCAGAGTGTCATTTTGACCGCTTAGCTTCTTGGTAAAATTCCAGCCTCGAGCGCTGAGGCAGGTAAGATTCCAATTCTTTAGGCTATACAGGATTCGGGTTGGAAGCAGTTGCTGTTTCCTGTGGCTGCTGGTAGTGAGACTTGCGGGTGGGTCCGCAACAGGGACACTACGAGGTTGAGGGAGGTGGCTTTTGGCCACACGAGTAAAGGCAAGGGATAAAACTGTTGAACTTATTTGAACTGTGATGCATGCACTGTATTTACACTGAAATGTTATTGTCTTAATTGTCTGTCACACAGATTCCTGTGTTTACTTCTATCTTACTCACTGTACTATTTACACTTTCCCCTCCTATTTCTCTTTCTCTGTTGAGAGAAGTGATTGGTCACACACTTCTCGCCACGCTCCAATCCGCGGCTACCACGGGTAGGCGGAATCAGTGACTAGTCTACGCTTTGGGAAGACGTACTTAAAGAGCTTGCTCTTAAAGTAGCAGTCGAGCACGGTAGACGTTCTGTTCCTTTCTCTCTCTATATCTGGGACGCCTTGTATGGGGAGGATGGGACAGAAGTTAGATAAACCCAGTAAGGGTTGGTTAGCATGTGATCTAGTGGAAGACAGAGAAGGAGAAGAGATGGTTAAGAAAGTGAGTAAGATTGCTAAAGTATGTGGAATTACCGTACCTCTGTGCGGCAGATTGCAGCCAGAGAGCTGGCGTAAGTTACTGACAGAAGAAAGGGAAGCTGTCGGACCAAGATTTGATTTGTACAGCAGAAGCCTGGTACCGAGTAGCAAGAGCTATTCAGCAAAAGGGATAGGTTGAGGAAGAAATTGATCACAAAGGTTTAAGATTGTTTGTGTATTATAATAATTGTGTTACTGGATGCTGATGGATCCCTATTCTCCCCCCCCCATCAGTCCTACAGATCTCGTCACCCTCATCCTCTCTCTGCAGCTCCCTGCACCTCCAGTCCGTTTCTCCTGTCAAAGATTTCTGGTTTCCAAACGTATAAGTCTCTGTCCTTCTGTCTTGTTACTTTCCAGCACTCACATGGTTAATCTTCATGCCTGCAGCTTCTCTCCCTTTTTTGCACTGTCTCACATCCCCCCCTTTCCTCCCCACTTGCCTCCGAATGGGGGAGGTACATGCCTTCTGCATTTCGGAGCTGCTGATAAGAGTTAGAGACAGGATTTTTGCTGGAAAATATTCTAATTCAGAGGTTATGGTGTTATAGTTGTGTAATAATATTATTATTGTTGCCGTTTGTATATGTATATATATATGTGTGTGTATGTATAGATTGAGTTTTGTGATAAAGTAGTGAGGATTGTGGGGGAGACACAAGAATGTAGCTCAGTGTTGATTTACGGAGGTAAGTGAATCTGATACAAGAATAGTGGAATATTTGGACGTGTTAAGTGTATAGGCAAGCGTGATTTGTTGCAGAACTATGCAATGTGGATAGAGGGAATATGCGGAGTTAAGCTAGTATGTGAAGAGGAAAGTGATTAATGGTTTGAGGAAGATAAGGGAATTTGGTTGAATTCCACGAGTTTATCTTGCATCATTTTAAAGAACATGTTTCTAGAAGACAGCTGTATGGGCTGTTAAATGCATAATATTTTCAACTGTCTTATTTAACCTGCCAGGTCTGTTCATAGTTTAGTATTCCATTTTGCAGAACAGAATGTTGCTTCTCTGACTTATTTTAATAGTTTTAATATAGTGTATGGTTGAAAGTACGTCAACCACCACCCTAAAGATGGCGCCTGCCAGTCCCGTGACCTATCCACAGTCACGGTTGCTTCTAAAGTAACGTCACTTCCGCCCTTACCATGCCCACACCTCCTGTCTTCCTTTCCCACACATATCATGGACGTCACCCCTCTCACTTCCTCCCTTGCTGTCATTTCCTTCCCCGCCCCTGTCATGGCTGCCTCCATCATGAGGCCTACCCCTATCATGCTTGTCCTATTTAGAGACATGTTGTTTTCCTTACACTCTACATATTATGAACTGAAACATTATAATTACTAAAACAATCATGCCATTTGTTTCCCTGTATCAACAATGTGTCCGTGATATAAAAAAAAGAAGGTTGCTAAAATGTAATTTGCAAATGTGGTGTGACCTACATATGAAATCTGTTGGACACGAATATAAGAACATAACAGCTGATTATCCAGATTAATCTTGCAACAAGGGAAATAGCCAAATAATGCAAGTTATTTTAAACATTGTATCTTTACTTAATCGAATCTTGCTAGTTACAGATCTTATGTTTACAGTAACATCCTTTACTTTAAATGATGGTTTAGCATTAGAAGGATTAGTGACATGTTTTATTAACCCAGCTACTACTGGTTGTTTATTTTAGTTACAGGGTGGTATAATTGTTATAGTCTAATTGATATAAATGATAGTACCGCAATAGTTAATGTTTTATCCAAAGACATATAGGAACTTTACTTAACTTACTATTAACCATTATTTATAATGATAGACATGTTCAGACTGCAAAAAGCTATGGCTAATGACATAGAAAGGGGTTTGAGTCAGTAACACAGCCCATACTGAGGAGAGCAAACCCGCTGATGCTTAATGCCCCTGCCATGGCAGTGTCTTCAGGGGAACAAGGGGGGCCTCTAGCTACTGTAATTTTACCCATTGAGGGCCAGCCCACCACTTTCCTAGTTGACACAGGTGCAGCCCGAAGTGTTCTGGGAGAACAAGACCTGCCCGATACCTCATTTCTTTCCAATATTGATGTCTCCTGTGTTGGGGTGGACGGCCTTCCAAGGCAAAGTCCCCTGTCCACCCCACTGCGGGTTGGTAACTGCCACAACTTGCTTGCTCGCTTTGTGGTATCTTCCACATGCCCCATTAACCTGTTAGGAGCTGATGTTCTTCCACGCCTGCAGGCATCCATCACCTTTACTCCAGATGGACAAGTGGAACTATCCACCCCTCTATCTGTCTCAGACACCTCAGCTTTGTGCTCCTTACCCCTGATGCTACATCTAGAAGAGCCTCATGGGGATGCAAAGGACCTGAGGACTAATTTCCCTGATTCACTAAAGACTGATGTTCCCAAGAAGCTGTGGTCCACAGGCCCAGAGGACATAGGCCATCTAAAGGTCCCGCCTGTGGTGGTAAAGCTCATCCCAGGCGTAAAATTGCCACGAAAATCACAGTATCCTTTGAAACCAGCTCAAGCTGCAGTCATTACAATTCAAATTCAAGCACTCCTGGAGAAGGGTGCTCTTGTCAAATGTGAATCACCATGCAATACTCCATTATTTCCAGTAAAGAAAAAGACTCCAAAAGGCGAACCAGAAAAGTACAGATTGGTCCAAGACCTCAGAGCGGTAAATGAAGCCACAGTTTTGGACACTCCAATAGTGCCCAACCCACACACTCTCCTTTCCGGCGTTCCACCCTCTGCCAAGTACTTCACTGTCATTGATCTGGCCAATACCTTCTTCAGTGTTCCCCTGGATCCAACTTGCCAATATCTGTTTGCTTTCACACATGAAAAACAACAGTACACATGGACTGTCATGCCCCAAGGGGCACAAAATTCACCAAGTCAATTTGCGAAGGCCATGTGCTCTATCCTTGATCCATGGCAATCTGACCACCCTGAGGTCGTCCTGTTTCAATATGTGGATGATTTGCTGCTTTGTGGAGATGATATACCCACAACAGAACAATGCTCACTTAATCTTCTTTGCTACCTAGCAGAACAAGGATGTAAAGCTTCACGTCTCAAGCTGCAATTCTGCCAACCTACTGTTATCTTCCTTGGCCATTGTCTGTCTCAGGGAACTAGACATCTTACCCGTGACCGAGTTAGAGCGGTACTGGACATTCCACCTCCAAGGACCTCGAAGTCACTACACGCCTTCCTAGGCCTCATTTCCTATTGCCGAGCATGGATCCCTGAAGCCTCGCTCCTTATGCAACCTCTTTATGATGCTCTCAAGTCAGACCCATTTTGCTTGTCCACAGAAGCCCTTGACAACTTCTGTTCTCTCAAACGTGCTATTGCTTCTGCTCCTGCTCTTGGCCTACCAGACTATACCAAACCCTTCAAATTGTTTGTTTCTGAAAGACAAGGCCATGCAACAGGAGTACTCACTCAGGCCCATGGTCCTGGAGGTCGCCAAAGGCCTATTGGATTTTTCTCCTGCCAACTGGATATTGTGGCCAGAGGACATCCCTCTTGCCTTCGGGCCGTCTTTGCTGCCAGAGAGCTCATTGAAAGAACTGGGGATCTTGTCCTTGGCCACCCCCTGGTTGTCTTGGCCCCTCATGATATTTCTGCCATAGTCAACCAGGTCCAACTTAAGCATGTTACTCCTGCTAGGCATCTTCGCCTTCAATGTCATCTTTTGTTGCCTGACAACATTACCCTCCAAAGATGTCAAGTTCTCAATCCGTCCACTCTTCTGCCACTCCCTGAGGGGGGTGTATACTACGGATTCATCATGGACGAACTGTATACTACGGATTCATCATGGACGAAACTTATGTTTTTCTTCTCACTGGCACCATCAAAAAGGAAATGCATCCCAACCTATCCTTTCATGATGGACAAGCACTCCTTCATGACGGAGCAAGACATGCCTTCTGTACCATGTGGTACAAACCAAACATCACTCCTGAACCCTGCTATGAAGATGACCTCTATAATCTGGTCGAAGTAAAACTCACTGCACAAGACTTCTACTGTGATTCTGAAGGCAACAGTATGGTCTTGATTCATCTACCTCCGGAACTCAAGCATTTGTACCGTCATTGGCACACTGCCATTCCACATGTCCCTGTGACCAAGTTGAAAACAATATCATGGAATGATCTTGGGCCTATGGCAAAAGCATGGGCCACTATGGACGAATCACAGCTACAGAAAAATGGTGTTGTCAAATATCCAACAACTGACCCTAAAAGCATGGCCACGTCATTTCCTGGAAAATAAGTTCCAAGATTTAACCATAGTGAATGAATACGACCCAGATACACCTCATGACTGTTTTGAACAGATGAAAATGGAAACAACACATCTACCAACTGTGCATGAAGACCCAATGGTAGATCCCGATCTCACCCTGTTTGTGGACGGCTCAAGATATGCTGATGAAGAAGGAAGATACCATACAGGATATGCCGTAACCACAACAGATGAAATTGTCAAATCATCATCTTTACCATCAACTATGTCTGCACAAGAAGTTGAATTGCAAGCCCTGACTTCAGCATGCAAGATCTCTGAAGGAAAGCGCGCCAATATCTACACGGATTCAAGATATGCACTGGGCGTGGCTCACGACTTCGGATTAATTTGGAAAACAAGAGGATTTCTTACCACCACCGGTACACCAATCAAGCACCGTTCCGCGATCAAGGAGCTGATGGACGCCCTCCTACTCCCAGAAGAAGTGGCTATTTTGAAGATAAAAGCACATGGGAAGTTGGACTCAGATGAAGCAAAGGGCAACCATCTAGCTGATCAGGCTGCAAAACAAGTTGCAAAAGAACCACAGGAAGTGGAAAGAAGAGTGTCCGGAAATGAAGAAACTCCCATATTTACTCTGCAGACTCTTCCAACTGACCTGAAAATCCTGCGGAAACAACAGGCTACAGTTGCCCCTGAAGAAATACAGAAGTGGAAACAGAAAGGGGCAGTTCTGAAGGATGGAGTGTACTCCAACAACCTCAATTTCTGCCTCCCTAAGAATTTGTACCCAGCAGTCGTACAATGGGCACACGGACCTGCACATTTATAAAAGGATCTAATGAATGCTCTTGTACAAAAATACTACCTCACTGTCCCCATATGAGATTCTATTTGGGACTGCACCTAGGCTAGGTTGCTATTTTCCCCAACAACTACAACTTCAAACTGATGTTTTAGTAGATTATGTAACTGAACTCGCAAAATGCTTTGAACAAAATCCATGCCCAAGTTTTCTCTTCAATTCCAGATCCTGATTCTGACACAGGCAACCACAGTCTGCTCCCCGGTGACTGGGTTCTGGTCAAGAAATTTGTGCGAAAACACACCCTGGAACCAAGATTTGACGGACCATTCCAAGTTCTCCTGATCTCCCCTACCTCTGTCAAATTGGCCGGAAGGCCTAACTTGATCCACGCTTCCCATTGCAAGAAGACACCTGCCCCAGAGGAAGCTAACTCTATGCAACCATGTGCCTCTGGTACATTATCTCCTTAGTTGGCCTCCTTAAAGCCCAGCAGGTGGCCATCACCAAAGATGCTAGTGGGTACACCTTCTGGTATAATTCATCATGTACCCATGTGGCTACATTCACTTTTGATTACTGTGATATTGTAGAGTGCCCATTCCCTAAGTCACAGATTCAAGCCATTTATAAAGATATACCACAAGCAAAAGACCCTTACGTTTGTGTAGTAGATGAACAATGGGGTTATGACTAACTACTGGGGGGCTGCGGGATGGAATACTGGGCCTGCCTGGGGTTATAAACCCAAAAGTGCTTTATCTAAGATAGACAATCAGGGTAGATCCCTCCTTCAAAGAATGACTTTAAGAAAGCCTGGAGGAAGTACCCCTATGAAATTAATGTTAAATATTGAACATCCTGGCCCCGAGGATGCAGACCGATATGTAATGGGAATGTATTGGAAGAAAGGTTCCTACAACAAATTAGGTCATTTCTACCTCAGAGATATGTCCCACTCTCCAGAGTGGCAAGCGGCTGATCATATGGTCCCAAATCCGCTAAAACCACATATCCAGTCCTTTAAAGATATGATGACCATCGCTAACCCCACTTTTGAAGATACCATGGCCGCTGAAACTGGATTCAATGACATTAATTTGTGGTTAGAATGGATGAGGTATAATGCTAACAAACATAATAAAACAGCATGTTATGTATGTGGCGGTGCCTGACCCCACCTTGGCACCGTCCCCCTAACTCTCCCTTTAGAGATAGAAGATTGCTTCTTAAGCCTTTTTGCCTACCAATATGACTTTAATAGGTCCCTCTGCATGGCATGGACGGCAGAGTACCCTCTCTTAGTTGAAAATGTTAAGCCACCAGATGGAATCACAGTCTATAGAGGTAATTACACTTGTTATGCCATGTATGACGGGATTGGTAAACTCATGGGTAATTTTTCTAAAGTTTATTGCGTCACTTACAGAACTGTTCCTATACGCCTGTTGCAACACCATACCAGGTCATTGGGGGATATTTACTGGTTATGTGGGGATCTACAGTTAAGATCTAGGCTGGAAACTGAGTGGTGGGGTGAGTGTACCCTGGCCAAAGTTATCATGCCCATTCATATTATTTCTGATAATCATCATGACACATACGACCCTCCACATACATCAGCCAGAGTAAAGGCGCGAAACCCCAGTAAAAGGCAGTTTTGTCCCCCACATTTACATAGATGCCATTGGGGTGCCTAGGGGGGTACCTAATGAATTTAAAGCTAGAGATGAAGTAGCTGCAGGTTTTGAATCACTTTTTACCATAGTCACTGCCAACAAAAACCTTAATTGGACTAATTATATCTATTACAACCAACAGCGCTTCGTGAACTACACCAGGGATGCCCTCCAGGGCTTGGCCGAGCAATTACAGGCCACATCCCAAATGACCTTCCAGAACAGACTGGCCTTAGACATGATCTTAGCCGAAAAAGGGGGGTCTGTAAAATACTTCCCGACACTATGACTTGTTGCACTTACATTCCAGAAAACACAGGTCCTAATGGTAAAGTCACTCTGGCCATAGCTAAATTAAATAGACTCTCAGAAGAGCTAAAGAGAAACTCTGGAGTTACTGATCCCTGGGAAAAATGGTTTGGTTGGATGACTGGTTGGCAGAGAGCTTTAGTCCAGATTGGTATTGCCTTACTAATTTTTCTTTTTATTCTCGCTCTTCTCATTTGTTGTGTTCTCCCATGCCTAAGGAAATTCCTGCAGAAAACTGTAGACCAAGCAACACCAACCTTCACTCATCTGACAATCGATGATCAAGATCTCACCTCACCCTGTATTCCGCTACAAACTCTCCCTTATACTGATGAAGTGCAGAAAGTCTAGGAAGGGACAGTGCAGGGACAGCGTCCGTCTTTATGGGTAGACTGCCGTACGGAGAAGTAGTGGATAAGCCACTATGGGTTACCAGCGGAGTGAAGAGTGTTCCTGAACCGTACTGACGGATGTGCTGCAGCCCGTTAGGGTCAAGAGAGGGATAGACTTGCACTTTGCATTAACACTAAGTCAGCTGTCATGGGGTTTCTGTGTCTTTGGGCTAATACTTCTTCTGATACTAACAAATAAAGTTTTGTCTTTTAGCAAATAACATTTTAGGGGGGACTGTTGTAGAATTATTAGGCCTCTATAAGTCTGTAAGGCCCCTTTAAATCCTCTTGCTATACCTCTAAGAGGCCCCCATAGTTTTACAAGAAAGCCTTGTCTATAGAACATAGAATTTGCATGTCAGCAAGAAATAGCTTTGATAAAATGTGTATTTACTAAAAGCCTTGAAACCTAGCCTTGAGAAACTAACAAGTGCCAGTTACGCTCTAAATGGATAGCTGCCAAAAGGCCCCTCCCGTCGAGTAAGCTCCTCATGTTAGCAAAATGGCGCTAAAACCTGGGGGAGAAAAGCATGACGTAGATAGTGACTTAAGATGGTACACCCCATAGGGAGGGCATTTTACTAACATCTTAGCACCTAAGCCAATTAACAATGTCTATTTGTCTATATCTTGATTTTCTTCAATGATGTAATAATGCCTTTATAAGGGTCTGCGCACCCATTTTCTGGCAGAAGCCATTAAACTTCTCCGGAGTTCTTTCATTAACCTGAACTTTGTGTCTCAGTGTGAATTTACTTCTGCGTGCACGCAACTTTATTATCTTTAATTTGGACAGGAACAGATAGTCATTCAAACTAATTGGTTTGCAGTAAATTATCTACAACACCTGTAATGACAGGTACTCCCCCTGCTGCCTGAAAAATAAATA